CGAGGAGTGCCCCATCTGCCTGGGCCCGCTTGCCAGCGCAGCTCGCGTGGACCCCTGCAGGCACTCCTTTTGCCTGGAGTGCATCCACCTCTGGGCAGAGGGAAGGGACACCTGCCCGATGTGCCGCGGGCCCATCGTAGCAGTGGTGCGCCTGGCCCGAAGACCCCGCGGAAGGTTCCAGCGGAATGAGCGGCTGGGGCGGCGGCAGCAGCAGCAGCAGCAGAGGGGGCAGCGGGGGAGGAGCCCCTCCAACTACCGCTCCCGCAGCGTCTCGCCCCGGCGCAGGGCGCGCAGCCCCTCCACGGGGCGCAGACTGGAGAGAAGCTTCTCCTGGCACGCGGGGCAGGTCGGGCGCAGACTGCCAAGCTCCCCGCAGGACGCCGAAGTCGGGGACACATCCTGGCTGCACAGGGTGCGGCAGGAGGAGCCGGGAAGCGGGGACCACGCGGGCCGGCAGGACGGGCCCCCCGCCTGAGCAGGCGGCCGGGCCTCGCCTGGGGATGGGCTGGGGGTGGCAGCCACGATTCCCCCAGGAAGAATAAATTACCACTCTTCCACCCTGCAAAGCCTCTGCCTGCACTTCTTCCCGCATCGCTCGGCAGGAGGGGGGTTGAGGGGGGGGAAGGGGGCTGGACACAGCCCTCCCCTGCTGTCCCCGCCATGAATTGGTTTGGGGGTGTCTGCTCCTGATGGGGAGCGGCTGTGGGTGGCGGGTCCGTGAGTGAGACTTAGGGGTGAGAAGTCATTTGGGGGATGGGAAGTCAACATGGGAGTGCAAAGGTGTTGGGAACGGGAGCAGACGCATGGTGACGTAGCCCAACTGCAAAAAAGGCTGACAGCCCAAGTCTCCTAAAAGCCTGGCAGCAGAGAATGCCTGCCAGCTGCGGAACCGGGCCTGGCAACCTGCAGCATCCCTGGAAGGTGCTGCTGGCCTCCTGCAAGTGCAGCCTAAGGGTACCTGAGGACCAGAGACTGTCTCCAGGTGCCACCACCAAGGGCAAAAGCAGGGAACTACAAGAGCAATGGGCTGTCTGAGAAGGAGGAACGGCTCTGGGAAAGGCGCCGTTCCCAGAGACTAGGAAGCATCGGTGTCTATCACTCGTCTCAGGTGAAACACAGAAATTAGCAGCAGCTTTTGGCTGCTCTAAGGAGGTGGTGTCCTCTGCTGTCTTCTGTCTCTCTTAATAGAAAAAGGACTCCTTCTCGACCCTAAATGGAGCGCCTCTCCCCCTCAGAACTTCTTGTGCTGCACAAATGGTTCTTGCCTACATGACATCCTTAATCCAGTGAACCTGTGCTGGGGATGCCCGGATGACTCTGAACTCTCTGATGGGAGCCTCACGTCTTTGCAGTGACACTTTGTTCTTGATTCCTTGGGGCCCACCCCCAGGCCCACTCCTGGGTTTGGTCTCTTCCAAGATGGCTTTTCTTAATTAGCCCTGACACCTCTCTCCATGCTTGCCTTGAATCACAGAATATTGCCCAGGGGTGGTTTGTGGCCACGTGTAATAACGAGAACTTTTCAGCAAAGAAAGCCTCCGTGTATTGCAGCACCCTACCAACTCCCACTTGCCGTCTCTCCACACCCGCAGGCAGGGGGGCATCCCTGAAGGGCTCAACCCTTTGGAAGGTCACGGCATGAACTTCGTTGTTGTCAGAAGCGGGATTCTGTAAAACGTGCACTCCGGGATGCTTTTGAGGAGGTGGTAGAAGAACACTGGGAGGTGCATGAGGCTGTCCTGGTTTCAGCTGGGACAGAGTTTGTTGTCTTCCCAGTAGCTGGTATGGAGCTGGGTTCTGGATTTCAGAAGAGAGTGATGCTGACAACACACTGATCTTTTAGTTGTCGCAGAGCACTGCTTACACAGAGCCAAGGCCGTTCCAGCTGCCCACACCGCCCTGCCAGCCAGGAGGCTGCGGGTGCACCAGGAGCTGGGAGGGGACGCAGCCAGGACAGCTGGCCCAAACTGGCCAGAGCCATGTCCCATACCCTATGGGGTTGTGCTGAAGACTAGGACTGGGCAGCAATCTGATGTGATAAGTCAGACTTCTGCTGCTTGAGTTCTGGCTGAGCATTATTTGGCAACTGGTGAGCAATTGCTTTGTGCATCATTTGTTTCTTGTACTCTTTTTTCATTACTTTTTTTTTTTTTTTCTTTTTTCTTTTCCTTTCTTTCCTGTCCTATGGAGCTATCTTTCTCTCAGTCCTTGAGTTTTACTTTTTTCCCAGTTCCCTCTCCCATGCCACCACAGGGCCGTGAAGGTACATATGTGTGGTGCTTATCTGTCTTTGGAGGGGAGCCACAGAAAAATACACCTAGATGGTTTAATAAGGAACATAGTGTTGAAAAACTAACAATTTTGTTACTTAAAACAGTATTTATATTGCCCGCAGCATTTATCTGTAAGTACTATAAGAATCAGATTATTTCTTTAAGTTTCTGAAGAAGGTTTTGTACAACCTGTGAACAGTCTGAATGGACCTCTTCTGTAATAGACTGAGTTCTCCTCAACATCAAAAGCATGGTGTCTGCTTAGATCTCTTTCACATTCCCAAAAAGTAAACCCTTTTGAAGACTAACAGATTGGTCAGCTATTTGTTATTTCAGACAACTCTTTTAAATGTCCCTCAAGTGTACAGAGGTGTTAATTAGAATGAATAATATTCAAAAGATCATCGCTGATTACATAAAACAAACATGGAGAGAAGCTTGTATTTCCCAGGGAACTCTTCAGCAGTTAAATGTTCTTGACTTTGCTGAAACTTGTCCACCATGAAATTCTGAACTCCAAACCGTGATCTTGATTTTAATTCATCTAACTACACTGCCTTTTTTTCCCCAGCTTTCAATAAATGTGCATACTACTGCTAAAATTGGATTGGATGCCATGTTTTTTAAATCTACTTACTAAAACCAACCTCAAGCTTTGTATCTGACACCTTCCCCAACCACATACACCCGTGATTCATAATGCCTTAGGATATTTTCAGTTAAAGCACAGTATAAAGTGTTTTATTTTCTATACCTCTCCCTAACCTTTAAAAGCCTCATCCTGTCCTCCAAGTCCTAATCTTCTCTTCACATTGCAAATTTTTCAAGGACTTCAGGATATGAGCTGAAAATAACTTGAACTTTCCTTCCTACTTGTTGGGATTGGGATGCTATCCTTAGCTGTTCCCAACCAGCTTTTCCTACTCAGAGGATTTTTAGGTCTGCCCTGAAGGAGCTTAAAGGCTGCTGTTGCTGAACCTCCCTGGTATTCATGTATAGACTCCCTCCCCTGCCTTTTTGCACCTTCCTCATTTGCTTTTAGTTCTTGGTTATAACTAGGGAGCTTGTTAGTCTGGCATTCATTAAACTACTTCTGCTAACCTGGTATACGTTAGCCAAATTTATTCACATGTAAGACTACTTTACAAAATCATTTTATAGCCTTGCTTCTAGATTTCTTGTTTTTCTATTGTATAGTCCATTGATTGAGAACCAAATTCTACTGAAAATCAATAGCTGGAACTGTTTCTACATTTTCAGATACAAAGACTCCATTAATAACTTAATTAATAGCATGTAGAACATGTATGGTTGCACTGAAATTGTTGATGAAGAGAATGAATACTGCATAGAATAAGTAAGAGCTTTGACATCAGGTTCAGAAACAACAAGGTATTCAGGAAGCAAGGAAGAGAAGCCATGTAATTCCCTTTGCTTATCCATAAGCCCTTTTTCTCATGAATCTGCCACTTCAGAGAGTCTGACAAAAGAAGTGTCACTAAACACACATCCAATTTTGTATAGCTTTGGGTTGTCCAAACTTTTCTATCACGGATATAAATGTACCTTATTTCCATCATCATAGTTTAACAATTAAATGACCTCTAAAGACAGAAACATCAGTTTCTCTCCTTTCTTGCATGTTGTCCTGTTTCTATTTAGGTTTCTTTGTATGCTTTGCCCGGTACATCTCCCACACACATTTACTGCTTTCTCTCAGTCTCCTACTTGCAAGCTTCTCCACCCTCCCCTCAGGATGTATTTCTAGCAGCTGGGTTCTCTCCTACACAGATCATCCCTCCTTGTACTGTGAAATAGCAAGCTAACCACATCGACATAAATGAGGCTACATTGAAAGAAAAAAGCCATTTGCTATTAAAAAAACCACCTCCATCTCAAACAAACTGATTTTGATGCCTTTGATTTAATGACACATGCCTTCACAGACACACGTAAAACAACACTAAAACACTGAGCTATTAGTTTCTAAATTTTAAATGATATTAATGCCTACTTTCAAGACTGTAATCTGAATAAAAATCTTCCACTATAATAGTGATTACACAACAATTCTTAACTATTAAAGGGTATGACATTATGCCAGAAGACTGTAGAAACAAAATGTATATACGTGCTCTGAAAAATATTTTCCTAATTAAGTACATCTCCTCAGTCTGACTCTTTTTTCAAAAGCCTGACTATTTGCTTGTCTGTGTACAGTTAAGCACGTTTTATAGTATTCATATCCTCTAAACAGTAGCTACGTATCTGAGGACAGTATAGGTAACAGTTTAAAGAGTTTCCATCTGCTTCTCTCATTGCTATGGGTAATGAAAATGGTATCAAAGTGTACCAAAGGTGCAAAATGCTCTGCATTCTTGTACTGTTTTTTTGCCCTGATGAGGTAATTTAGGAGACGCATTTCTTATGCAAGTCATTTAATCTGTGCAAAGGTTAAAGCTATTTTCTTCTAACTCTCCATCTCTTTTGGAGAAGGTGTGTTCACCTTCTTTGCTGCTCAGACGCCACTCCAACTCTGGATACCCAGACCTCCTGCGACATAACCACGCTGTACATCCAGTCTACATGCATCCACCTAGATTATTTCCCAATCTGACTGTTTTTTATACTGCAGTTTCTGCACCATAGATTAAGTATAGGAGACAAAATCAAATCTTGGTTTGTTTACTTGAAGTTTCATTTCAATATAAGATTTTTAATTCTTACCATAGTCTGTAAGTTTAGACATGCAGAGTTGACTTGATCTCTCATTTCCACTTTGTTTATCGCATCCTATGGACGCAGAGTCACATGTCATGACTGGCTCAGAATGAATTAGCAGTTTTGAAGTCTGCTCATCAGATTCCTTAATCAAACAAAGCAGCACAGAGAAAAAGGTACAGTTAGAGCTTTCACCAGGATCATGATACAATGGCTGCCCTGATCCACACAACTGCTGGGACTCATATTAAACAACAACAACAACAAAAAAACAACAAAACAAAACAACAACAACAAAAAAACACCCTCCTACCTCTTTTCTAAATGATAGCAGTGACTCAGCCACAAGCTAACACAGATTTAACATGCTTTTTTTTCTCCAGAGATAATGAGAAATAGAAACTAGAGTACACGCTACAGAAAAGATAGAAAACAAAACACTAAAACAAATCTTATTATTGCTGTGATGCTTTTACTGACTATTTCCAAACTGATGCTGTTCACTGTATGATAAAACGTAGTACTAGTATTGAACAGGACTACCTTATGTTGCAGGTATCCTAAAAGCAAAGGTTAAATTATACTGGGAGGCATTCTAAGACTTTATTCTTACTAAGAAGACAGTTTAAATGTTAATATTCTTTACTACTCAAATGAAAAGAACGCACAGCCATGCCAAATAAGAGTGTTTAAAGGATTAAAAATCCAGAAAATGAATGTATTTTGAACTCCGATATCACACAAAAGATCAGTAAGTCCATTTCAGAGAGCAGATGTAGATTTATGGGTGTCTAAATAGAAAATTGTTCAATAAATGGAGAATTGTTAATCTCTGGACTGGACTGTCTGTCCAGTCCTAAAGAAAGTGTGTGGAGAAAGAGGTACATTGAAAGTGCATAAATAAGGTATCTGAAATGACAGCTCATACTTACATGTAGGACATCGACATTCAGCTGCTGAAAATTACGGGACCTGAATTCTTGCATTCTTTTGACGTTTTCTTGATATTTTTCTTCTGCCAGCTGTCTGTAAATACAGAATATTTGTGATTAAGATGTGATATCAGGGATTGCACAAAGGGATCTTCTAACAGTAGATGTGGAAAAGCAGTTTCCATAATTAGAGTGCTATGGTGCCAAATATTCATGGCATCTGCTCAAGGTGAGGTTAGTTCTAGTGAACTCAGAAACAGATCTCAGGCCTTATTCCAAACAGTTTTTATATTTATCTTTCACAACCTGCATAATTAATTGAAAAATAGTAAATTATCCATCCCAGACTCTTGTCTCTTCCAAAGATCTTAAATATGTCAGACTTTATTCCACTGTGTAGTCCAGGGAACTTTCAGATAAAGACAGGCACACAATACTTGTGTGCTGTGAACACTTCTCCTGGGGTAGAGTTGGTAATTGTGCTTTTTCTGTGCAGGACTACTTATGCTAGGTCCTACATTATGCAAATCCTTCAGTTTCCATCACTAAATACCCTAATCTCTTCTATGTCTAGATTTGCACTGCTGAGAGTAGATCTCCAGTGTGAGAAGGTACTATGTTTCTGCACTATTTCATATTTTCAGGCAGAATCAGCTGGCAAGTACCCAGAGTTGCAATTGAATAGATCCATTTTGAAGATTCATGATTGAGAATAAGATTAATTTTTAATTTTAATCTAAGATTGCAGATTAATATGTTGCCTTTATATTACAAAATAAATATATTTACTTTTGTTGCTGGGGAGAAATGTGAAAAATAAATAGAAAATGTTAAAATGAAAGAAAGCAAAGAAAATGAAAAGCAAACTACAGATATCCTGCAATTAGTATTACTTCCTAATTTCCATCCATTAAAAAAAAAAGAAAGAGAGAGACTTCCTATATATACATTTCATATAAGAATGAGCCTACCATATTACTGTAAAAAACACATAGAAGAGGTGTTACATTTTATATAGTGGTTTCATTTCAAGGCGTTTTTTTTTTTGTTTTGTTTTGTTTTTTTAATGAGAATAAACTTGCATACCATCTCCAGTCTCAAACAAAAGAGTTGGTGTCAAACAGACATAAATGATGATCAGACATGTTTTCCAAAAGGAAATGAAAGCCTTTGTGGTTTTTTTTGTTTGTTTGTTTGTTTTTTATTATTTCCAGCTTTTGGGTATGGACACAACAGGCTGGCACAAGTAACACCAGTGATTTTACAGAAAATGTTTTCTCAACTGCATTTACTATTCATTTGCAGGTATATGCAACAGCTTCAAAGTTACTGAGGCCATAAATTCGGGCTTCATGTTACTTTCCAATATTTCTCTGTAGTAAGATGTCATCGCTTTACTGAACTGCTAGCTTGCTTTGGCATAACAGTGTTAAAATGATTATTCTCATGATCAGAAATAATTATTCCTCTATTATCCCGTATAAATAGCTGAGTAAACATTTGTTAATTTACATTGCACTTTGCAAAACACTTTTGAAGAAAATGTTAAAAATGAATGTGCAGCTTTTCTGATTTTCATTCACATCATGTGAACACTGAACATTTTTAATGGGAAAAAACTCAAGTGTGTCATCAAAACAGTATTTTCTTTCTATTTAAAAATGCAATTCATGCACAGATACGTAGCCTTCAAGATGTTTCCCACATGCCACTTGGAAATGGTACTTAAAATCCTCTCTTTCCTTATAACTTTCTTAATAAAACAATAAACTGTAAAGCCCTTATAATATGTTGATTACCCTATTGGTCATTTGATAAGACTATTTTTTCTGAGCTATTAACTTCCATTGACAAATCTCTTGGGCCAAAAGAATTGAAAAAAGCTGCACTGTAACTAAATGTCTGACTCCTCAGAATATGCAATCCTTAACATGACAAGTCATTAACAAAATTCCCTATTGTAATGAATCTGTTAATCTCTCATGTAGTTATTTAACCCGAAATACTATGCTCAAAGTACCAGTTTTGGTCTAAGGGTCTGACTTTTTTTTCTACATAAATAATTACTATGATTTAACTCAAAGTGAATGGGGATTCACGTTAAGTAGCTGAAGACTCTTTTTTTTTAATTTAATATTATTTTTATTTTTAACTTGACTGTTCTAGTTCTCTCATTAGACTGCTGAAAGAGGAAAACTGCACAGTTAGGGCACAAAACTAACGTTATGCACAACTTACTTCAACTTCTTTGCTTTCTCATCTGCTGCATTTAACTTCCTCAGCCTCATTCTTTCCCGTGGTGTCATTTTCTGAACTTCAGACAGTTCCTGTAGAGTCTGCAAATGAACTTTCCTCTGCCTGAAATTGAATGCATGCCAGCTTATTTTCATATAAAAACGTAAATATTGGTATTTTGATTTGATATTGAAACATACTGACATTTCAAATGCAATAATTAGAAAGTCACAGGTACTATAACAGACTAAACAGACCTTAGTGTGGGAAGCAAATGCTTCTTTTACATTGAAACTTAAACTTAGATTAATGAAGAACATGAGTCATTTGAGGCATTTCATGTGAGAACAGAAAAACGTAAACTCAGCTCCTTAGAAGAATAAATGTTGAAGCACAGTAAAATATTTACCCTGTCAGGATTCATTATTGAGCATATTACAAATCCAAAGGCAGTTTTCAAATGAGAACCACAGGAAAAAAAAAAAAAAAGAAATACCATTCATACATTTTGCATTGGTTGTTACAATTTGGCTGCAATAAAAGATAGCATTAATGCATCTTCAATGAAAGTCATAATTATCATGTTGTCCTCTTGAGTTTCTGGTCCTAATCAATAAAAACAATTCACTGGTAAAATGGACTCCATGGACCATCCTTGAAAGCTGAGCATCAGTTATTGACATTTGTATCTCAGCTGTATTTATCAATACAGGAGAGCAATACTAGACCTATATCAGAAAAAGGATATTAATTTCAGATTTTACCTCACATCATATAGTAATTGCAAAAATTGAACCATAGTTTGCAATGACTTAGCACTCATATTTCACTCACACTAAAATTTTGCAATCTTTTTATTCATGATAAGAAGTTCTCATTTTAAATGTCTATTTTTGCTCTTATAAGATAAACTCACTTACCATCTAAGAGCCCAGTTTTGTAAGCATACAAATTGCAACACTCCTTGCAGACTACCATTTTGAAATCAGTATTTTAATAACTGAGAAGCTTTCATTATGCTTTTCAAATGTTGACTACAGAGGGAAATAGTGTAAAGATATGAAAATTACTGTGAAATATGAAAGACTAAGGACAAAGACAAGAAGATTTTAATTATTAATAAGAATGGAACTAACTCCTCAAGTATGAATAATGCAGACATATTTCTTGTCCCCTGTTAAAAAAACCTTCTGATTTAAATTATAAGAACCTCATGGGAAAAAAAGTCATTTTTCATCCAATTTGAAACTGAATTTATAGAGTTTTCTTCTTACTTAAATATTTAAAATGTATGACTTGCTTGGAACTGGAATAAACTAAACCATTAGAGGCTTTTACTAGAAGAAACCAGACTCAACTATACACACCAAAAATAATTTCTGGTGAGGAAAAAAAATCATAAATTTAAAGTAGCGATGACTGGGCAGGACACCATAACAAGCAGCTCCCTGTACACACACAGACTACAGCACATGCAGGAAACTCCCTATGTTTAAATTATTTTTCCACCACTTTTATGTTTGTATGCCACCATTTTTCAGATATTTTTACTTCATTGTACCTACCTCTTTAAATATAGGCTTGAAAAAAATATTTGTCACTTTGCTTACCAGTAGCAATACAGAAGCTAACATTCTCATAAATGCAATAAAAGTCATAATAGAATTATGCATCTATGTGTATTCTAAACTTTAATCAAAAAAGAATCAGACTCCAGTACATTCATCTCCTAGGACGACTTTTTTTTTTTTTTTTTCCTCAAACTGATGCTCTGAAAAGTTCAAGGTAACTTTCTGTGCTCTAACAAATATAGCTCTTATCCAGTTTTTACGATTCTGGACCTCAGCACAGAGAAGCTGACTTTTTAATGCTTTTAACCGAAGTATAAGAAAAAGATGTTTGTAGTTAGAACTTGCTCTTCATCTTACACACTTGAGACTTCCTTTTGAACAAAAATAATTATAGACCCTGGGATATGCAATCGTGTCCTGCCTGGGTGTTAGCTCTGTCAATAAGCGATGTCCTCTTGGAAGGTGAAAAGACTTGATATATTCAAACTAATGACAAAGGAACATAGTATATTTTATGGATAATATAAAATGGTTTCATCAGTCTGTTCTAGAAACACAGGGATGTTTGAGGTCTAGATATATATTTTGCAGGTAAAAATACTGCTTCCTGAAAGCTTCTGTAATTTTTTGACGCATATGGATAGTTTGAAATCCTATATGGAATGTAGGTGAAAACCTACAAAATAAAGGCATGAATTAAACATTTTTTGAAGATTCTCATAGTGTATGTTTTAATAAGCATTTAACATTCAATATTATTTATAGAGAGTTGGCATAATATTTGGGCAAGATTTCAGTGCCTCAAAACTAGTTAAGGTATATCTCTGAGGAACATCTCTGCAGTTAACTATAATTCATTTGAATAAACAGGAATCCACTCAAGAGTTAATTAATTCAACCTGAACACAGCAACAATAAGCAAAAGGTATGTCTAATATTTCCTGAGTACAGCACATCTGCCCGTGTAACTGTAGTGTTTCCGCTATACTAGCAGAGCTATTTGAAGCAGAAACAAGAATAGTAGAATATTAAGAATACCAAGAATTAGACAATACAGGCATCATTTATTATTGCCTCTTATATCTATACTTGCAAAGTTCAACAATGTGTTTATACTAAAGTGGAAACCTAAACAGAGAACTCTTGTCTGATAAGAGGACAGATTCATCTGACAATGAGAGAAAGCAAGAACAGAAATGACGGGGTGGAAACTCCAACCACAATTTCAAGCTATGAGAGCTTTACAGATATATTCTAAGCAGTCACACCAGGTAACAAAAACGTACAGAATATTTTTCTGTGTTGAATCCAGTGTCCTTATTTCACATTCCTCCTATCACTGTTGTTAAACAACCCTTTCTTTTGCAAAGTTGCACTTGATCAGCTCTCCTAAAGGAACACTAGCAAGCAGTAGACTTGGTAACAACCGCAAAGCGACCACTGCTGAAAAACTGCAGGCCTACACTGAGAACAGAGGTCACAAAAAGAATGACGGGAAAAGGCAAATTTCCCTGAATCTACTGTTAATTCTGAATTGGGGCACGGGCTTTTTGATTGCTACTATTTATTAATTAAAAAAAAATAAATCAGATAGCTGTTGAAGTCTTGAAAGTTATTCAGACGAAATAAAAAATGGAGATGACTGCTACGCCTGCACAGGATCATAAACTCCTGATTTTGAATGTGCTATCTCCTAACAGAGCAAAACCACATCAAGAAAACTCAGGGACAGCAAGCAAAGAGGAATGGAAGCTGCCATTGAAACCACGCAGATAATTTACAAAGACAAAAATTGCCCGTGTTGACATTTGCTTTAATCACTGCTGCACCGTAATATGACACAATTAATTAATTTAATATATATTTGGTGCCTAAAAGAGAGATCATGTGCAAAGGCAGAACTGATTTAAGAGCCAAGAAACACCACTAGTCTTAATTTCTCACAAGAAAGTTACAAGACAAATATAATAGCATCCTATGGATGTATTAGATGAACGGTTTAAGTGTTTATGTCTTCATTTGGATGTCATTTAGGAATCATAGCCTTCACATTCAACAGTTAGTCAGTACACAAACTAAGTCAGTACACAAATGACCATGACTTAACTAAAATGATGAACTAAGCCTTCAAAATATACAGACAAAGGTCCTAACTTAATTGCACACCCACTGTTACTAAATTAATTCGTGCATGTACTACATAAACACTCACAATTTATGGTTCCAGAATAAAAATATTTAATTATTACATCCATTTTTTGCCCTAAATTCTGATTATGCAACTCATTAATGTGGTTGTCTTGTATTTCTGAGGAATGGTAAAATCCCTTTTAATGCAAAGCATGAGGAGATTAACACAAACATTTGTTTACAACAGCATAGTATTTGGCAACACCATAATTGTTTATAGTTCTGCCCACAAAACACTTAAAAATACTTACACAGCATCAAAAATGGGAGCAGCTTCTTTCTGCCAGTTAAGCCCTTTGTCTTTCACATTCATATTTGAGTATTTGTACTGCATATTCTGTAAAGAAATAAAATTGAAGCAGTATCAATGCTTGAGGCTAAAGTGATCCAGATTCCAATATGACACAAAACAGCCCTCGTGTAAAAAATGATCAAGCAGTTTCCTTCCCTACTTCCTTAGAAAGTCAAATAATAAATACGTTGGAACCAGGGACCAAAAAAGAAAGATGCACTGTTTTTCGTTAAAATTATGACTAACTAGAACAGTTAGAGATGACACGTACCCAGCCCAAATGATCTGCACTTGTTATGCATAAATATCCATTCCCCTTATTACTCATAAGATTTTAAAGGAGGGTACATTCAGCATGTAGAGTGAGAAAGGCTTAATTTCTCACTGCCTCTCTGCCACAGTCACACTGTTAGCTCCAAAAGTCCCCTAGATTAATGTTCCCACTGGCTGCTCTCTAAGTTATTTTTTCTCTACACATTTCCTCTGTCTCCACTCTACTTCTGTAAAATACATACTCAAGTGGCAAGTGTACAGCTATCGCTTTTTCTTCTTAGATACCTTTAGTTGTTCATCAACATAAGGGATTTTTAGGATCTCTGCTGCTGCTGGTCTCATCGAAGGATTCTTACTTAACATGCTGAAACATGAAGAAAACAAAAGTGAAAATTCAGTGATTTTCTAAATTAACTTAAGTAACTGATAAACAAGAGAGCAACGTACCTGCTCAGCACTGCATTCAGTTTGCTTGGATATCTATCAGGAAGAGAAGGTGTATCACCTTCTACAATTTTTAGCACAACTGACAAAAAATTCTGTCCAGAGAATGCATGGTCCATACAGCACATCTCGTATAAAATGCATCCCAGAGACCTTGAAGGATAAAATAAACAGAATAGCATAGATGTTATTTTTACAAGTAGCATGCATAGTGACATTACGATAAGAAAAATTACAAGTTCATATACGTTTTCCCGAGAATAGTATATTTTACTATTATGCTATTATTTTCATCTGAAAAGATTATGATTCATTATTCAGGTCAACAACTGGCATCATATTAAATGGGCATAATCATCATTCTATTTTGATAAATGCAGGCAAACACCTACAATCTATGTATATATATACATATAAAAATATTTTACATGTGTATGCAGGTATATAAACACTCATTTGGCCACACATTCAAAATAGATTCCAAAACTAGTTTGGACTCAAAGAATTATAAAATTTTAGATGACTGCATCATGTTGTAACACATACAACCAAATTTCCCCAATTTTTTATTTGGAGATGAAAAAAAACCTGAATATGCCAGGCTGGCAACCTAGCTGAGAACCAGTGTCAGATTTTATTTATCAGGCTCTTAGTCCTCAGTCCTAACAGAGATAGCATAGACCACCAAGTTGAATATTTTAAGAAAATCACTCTCATAATGATTTATGTAATGACTACTCATAATAGCTTGCACTTCGGTTGGCCTCTATCTAATATATTTTTTTAAAAATAGAGATGCTGAGCTTTCCAGGCTTTGAAATGTGCCCAGTATCAACTCCAGTTGATACTGGAGTGCAGGAGAATACTGATACTGATATTCAGGACAACAGAGGCAGTGCCAAGTGACTTGATCAAGGTCATAGAAGATGTTGGTGAGAGCAAGCTACAGGACCAGACTCACCTAGGTAACCAACTTAAATAGCACAGCAACTTTACTTTTCACGTAATATTTGATTGGGGTACTTATCATTTACAGCAGTATGAAAATAAAGCATACTGGTAATATGTAGAAGCATGTATAGGTGAATGGCTTTGGTAAAAGAGGTATAAACATTATCTTTGAAAGCAAATAATGAATAAATTTAAATAATTCATTTTGGTTAAAGAAGAGGAATAAGTTCAGTCCATCTGACAATAAAAGAGCACAAGCAAATAATTTTAGAGCTGAAACTAATGCTCTCTGTATAATGTAAATAAGCCCAAGGAGAGAGAATAGAAGGGTTCTCTCACGGGTGCTTTACAAAGATCTATCTGAAAACATCTAGGAGAACATTTTTGCTAAAAACTGCCTAACTCTAAAGGTACCTAAATAATTACCTAGCTTCTGGAAGTTTTAACTGTCAACCAGCTTTCAAACTTCCAAAATCTACCAAAATCAGATCTACTGATTTTGGTAGATTTTGGAAGTTTGAAAGCTGGTTGACAGTTAAAACTTCAAGTAACAGTAACACACAGATGATGCTATACATTTACAATCTACATTCAAACTCTGAAACAAGATAATGACTACATGAGAAAATACTTTATAACCAAAGTGCACACATGGCATCTGAAAGCATCAAACAATAAAGGAAACCAGCCAGAGGGAAGAAAAAAAGGAAAATCCCAACTTGATAGACTGTACTAAAACTGTTGTGTTTTTGTTTTTGTTTTTTTTTCAGAATCAATCTGTTTTCGGAGGCTGCTTAATTCTGGCAGCTAAAAATTGCTTAATGAGCCATTAAGAGAACAGGATTTACCACATGAGGGAAGCCCATTTATTCAGCTAGCTGAGTCCTCTGACTACACCTGAGAAAGTAGTTCTTTTGGAGAAAGATGAAAAAGAACACCCGAGGCATTCTGGTAAAGCTGGGGCAGCAAACAGGCTGCCCAGGGAAAACCCCATCTGTCCCATCACAGAAAAAAAATAATGGAAAGAAAAAATAAATAAATAAATAAATAAAAAGCAGGGAAAAAAAGAAAAAGTAGGGGTTTATTTATTTATTTATTTATTTATTTATTTATTTTTTACTGCAAAATACAACTCTTTGAAATGAAATAAGTAGCTCCTAAGCTGAGAAATGTCCCAAATCCTAGAGCAAGGCCACTTCTTCCCAGGACAGCTGCTGAGCTGTAGTTGCCTAAGAAAGTTACCAAGCTTTTGCCTCGAGACTGCATTTCTCAGAGCAGTTGTGTTTCTACAGTTCCAGCCTAAGCATGTTGTAAGAAGCAAATTCAGCAAGAGAAGATTGCTTCCTGATTCCCATGAGCAATTTGCCAATGACCAAAACATATCATTTAATTACTTTTATAATCTTAGCTTGTATAACTGCCAGCGTTATAAAATTCTAAAATAGCCATGAAAGTATCCAGCCAGAGCATTTGGTTTGACAGCTTTCTATTTGTGAATAGGTTCAACAAATGTGCTAAACAGCACTTCATTTCAGCAAAACTGATGCATGATTGTTTCACATTGAAGCCACTTATGCTCAATTATATAATAAAACGGAGCATCTGCACAGGTTTCAGTATATTCTCTACAATATCAACTGACAGACCTCTAAGTTCTCAGGAGAAACCACCTTGCGTTTTTTGGTGCTACTTGTTTACATCAGCATTGCTGTCCCTTTCACATCTCCTGGTCTTTTATAGAAATTTCTAAACTGCTACAGTCCTTCAAAGCTGCATGTTAGCCTTTTAATGAAACACTAGAAGCCAGATAATCTAAATGCCTATACCTTTGTGGCTTGTGCATCTCAGTCTGACTGTACCGAATCTTAAGAATTTGCTGACTCCAAGGTCTATGAGGAATACATACATGTGCATACACATGTACCATCATGACACTCTCATCCACGGCTTTTCAGATCTTCAAGTCAGGGTTTATCCAGCTGTAGTTGTGCAGCTTTTATCATTAATCTTCCTGCCTACTTCTTCCTAATAGTTGTTGGTGTCTAATGGACACAAATAGGTCCAGATCATATGGCTCAGTCTTTTAAACAGTGAACCAATTGGATAGAATGGCAGCATCCTAATTCTCATAGTAATTAATTTCTGTGGGGTCTTGTTGTGGGAAAGGATCAAGGTAATCTGTGCACCCAAAACTTCACTGGATTTTTAAATACCTCCATATACTTAATGGATACTTCCGTTGAATTATCGCAAAAGACTCTCCTGTCTGTCCTCTCAAGGAGCAATTAAAGCTGAGCACGCAGCAGCTTTTGAAAACAAAACAAAACAAAACAAACAGAAACCAAACATACAGAGATTACAATATTGCTATATATATTATTTATCAGATTTACTTTTCATATGCCATTATGCTGACTATGCATCTCCCCAGCACTTTCAAACATTTTGAGTGTTCAGGAATCCTTACAGCTTCTATCAGCTATTTCCAAACACAAAGCCAGTAACACTTGGGAAATTCAGAAAGACTGTGGAGGCTCCCAAAATCACATATACTCTGTGTACACTTTGTACAAACTCTCTTTACAGCATTAGTCATTCATCCAGTCAATAAACAATACTTTATACTACATATCACAGAATAGGCAGATTTAGAGTTAGCAGCAAACCATTTATATTATTTTAATAAACTTCCTTTCAATACAAAATCCCATTCCAAAATGTTCCTCACTACGAGATTGATTCAAGTAATAACCTCAAATGCTGTGGAGACTATTATTAGTTATATAGATTGCCTAGTTTAGAAATAAATTTGGATACCTCCAAACCTTTATATTTGGGTGAGCAGCCCACTTACATGGGTGAAGTTATATACAACAATAGGGGCCAAAAGCATGACAAAGATTGTCTGGCTTGGGTCACTGTAAAAAGAACATCACTGAACTCTTTTCAGTAAAGGAAAGGTTCTTCCTCTTTTTTTCTCTCTCATTCATGGGGTGGAAAGGGCTTGGCTGACTCTTGGTACATGTATATAATAGCAATTATAAAAAGGGTTTTGGTCAGCACAGACATTTAATAGTCTTACAACCATCTAGCATTTCTATGGTACAAAGAAGTGGAAAAAAATAAAATAATAATTCCTTATGAATGTTTTATTGGTTCTTATCACAAGATACATAATCTCAGCAAAACCAGGTATGAAATGTTTTCAATAACAGCTGTTTGAATTCAGCTCAGATGCACTGAATTTCCACTGGGTGATGATATGACTGCCTTTATTATTGAACTGAAATAGCTCTCACTTAAAACAACATAGGTATGTATTTGTTGTTATCTGTATCTGGGATGATGAAAATAATTAGAAATAAATACTTGCCACATTCTGTTAAGAATCCATAATAATCAACACTATTGCAATAAAAAAAAATCGAAATCAAGTACTTGTGCCAAAAATTATTCTTAATAAGATTGTCGCACCAGCATAATCAGCTATAGGGATCTTCTTTTTCTAATTGTCTTGGGACTAGATAGAGGAATATGGGAGGAAAAGATATTTTAGACACCTTTATTAACCCAAATTACGATTTGTGCTTTACTTGAAGACCCATAGTTTGGAAACTCTGGGACAAAATCTTACAGAGACAGAGTAGGCTGAAATTTTCTCTCATGAGTCACATATTGGCAATTTCTTTCTACCTTAAGTTCCATAAAATAAAATACAAAGCATGCTAAGTAAAAAAAAAATAAAAAAAATAATGAGAACATAGCTTACAAATCACAACTCACATTGCTTTGAAGAAGTTTTTGTTCTGCATTTATCTCTGAATTAAAACCAGGGATTATTTCAGTGGAGCCTTGTTGATTCATAACAATGAGGATCTAGCACACCTTTTCAGCATAGATGAGAAATCTGTGATGTCTGCTTCAACCCTTGCTTTCATATAAAACTGCACTTTAAAAAAATCCATCGGTTAAACATTACTCAAAAGACCAATGCATGAATTTTACGGCTGCTTTTGGTAGTTATTCGACATAAAATTTGGCACTAAAAATAATTATTTTTGGATTGTTATTATTAAAGGAAAAGACAAACTGGGGCAAAAGTACAGACAAGCAAGCACAATTAAAATGAAAGTCCCAAGATGTGTGGTATAGGGAGCCCAATATAACCAAATCCCACAGAAAAAAAAAAAAAAAAAACATTTATCAAAATATGGCAACACTTGACAGTTGACGTAGAGTATGATGGATTCAAATGTGATATTCCTTTGTCTCTGCCAGACAAAAAGAAAACAATTTATACCTCTCTTGTAAAGAATTTGCTTTGCTTCCAAATGACAAATAGATGTGTTTTTCAACCGAATTGTTTCTATTATCATTTCTGCCTCTGAGATAATTTACATTACATAGTATGCAGAAATTCTTTGTGAAGTTCATGGGTGGAGTTTGCCAAATATGCTCATAGCTTTGAAAAGGAGAGAGAAATATCATTGTTCATAACTGTTTGCTTACACTTTATCACATCTACTCAGAAACAAAATAAGACAGTTTTAACAGCCACTACAATGGAAGCACTCAATATTTGCACTGAGGATTTATACTGATCCTGGGCAGACTACAAACCAGTGCAGACCCCAAACTCCCAGGGTTAGAAAACCTGAAAAAAATTGCAGTTGTGCTAACAACTAGTGGCAGGCAAACGTTAACTTTACTGGAGACGTGAACACAGAGACAGTTTCAGGTGTGACGAGAGAGTGATGCTCATTCCCCAGTATGAAAGAAACAGAATCTAAACTGGTTGGGAGCCCATGTGACAAGGGAACCTCCAATTTTCTGATGTAAAGGAGACCTCTGGGAAAGCTACAACAGTCCACTTTAACTTTAGGACCATCTGTGGGAATTATCATTGACCTTCTTGGTAAGTTTAGGCTTTCTAGGTTGCATGAGGACAGTGGAAAGTACAAAGGTTTCTCTGTTCTTCAGAGATCCTTAGATATGGGATATGTATCCCAACATCTAGCCTCACTAACACCCTTGCTATTATCACTACTTGTGCAAAACTAGCAGTTCTGAGTGATAACGTGCTTTATCATTAGAAATATTTCTATTTCATTATATTTCAACTAATTTTAGAAAAAGCAACCTGATCTAAAAAGTTGTAGAATGACTACTGATGGATGGGACATGTATTTGGTAGATCTAGGTTAGGCACAACAAATATCATAGAATCAAAGTTGACCAGAAGGTCTCAACCCCTCAGCCTGGTGCAATTCCTACAGCCATGTTTGGTCCCCAGTAACAGAAATGGCACAGTTTTGCTGCATGTAGTAGGTCTGAGGGTAATGTTTATGAAGTTTATATATGGAGTTCACCTTTACCAGGGCTTCTTATGTGTCATTGCATAAAAATTGTGTGAAATGGGAACAGGCTGCTCCACAGCTCATCTGATCTTTCTGTCCTTTCCTCCTCTCTCACAGATGGATGCATTTGGGCTGTAGAATATTCCATAGTTTGAAGGACACAAGAGCAGCCTCATCAAATCTGAGCTCAGATATAAGAATAAATAACCAGACAAGGAATAACAGTTCCTTCTAACATTCCTACATATTCCTCTACTGAAGTCAGAATTGAAGAGAAAATATCATTCCTCAAATTTCAAAAATACCAGGTCATTTTAGCTATCTCCTGGGTTTTTCATTCTATGAAAGGAATAAAGATATTATGCTACATAGGTACAATTGCATTGGCCATGTTTATATATAGATATTACTGTTATAAGCAATGATGACAATATAGACATATTTAGACGTAGTGAAATAAAGCTGGGATCAAAAGAACTCAAAAAAAAAATCCCAAGCAATTTTAATAATGCTAAGATTTTACACTCCTTGTAAGCAAGGGAACTAAGAATGCTAGCAGGATGGTGTGCTCCTTAAGGTAGAAACTCGCTATCACTTTTTGAAGGAAACCAATTTATTTAATGAATTGAAGTTACTGACTCCTGGAAAATGAGCTGTCACACTTTAAAAAAAAAAAAAAGCCCTTAAAAAACAAAAAGACTGAAACAATAGCAGAACTTGAGCTGTCACATGTCAAGCAATTAAAAAATGAGCTTTATCAAAAAGCATTTATATCTCATAACTAGAGAAGTTTCTCAACAGGAAGAGACATTCAAATTTACCAGCCTTTGTACTAACTTGATAACAAAAAGTTGCAGAGAAACCCAGCAAGCTTCAGTTAACTGGTCATGATTGGCTAAAAACTGTTGTAAAATGAACTTGGAACACAATCCGTCTTCTACATACTTTCAGATAAATAAAAGTGACTTTGGTTTTTAGAGCCAACACCTTAACAAATGTCTTCCATGGCATGTTCACCTCAATCATCAAATTCTGTGTCAGGGAATAGAGTTAAGATTGTCCTTGGAGAAAATATGCTTTCCATTGAATGTATGGAAAACAGCCTTCTCCTCCCTAGCTCTCCCAAAATCAGACGAAGGACATCTGTTCAAAGACGTGGCACACTGATTGCTGATCAGCAATATCTTGCTCTCACATGCACACTTGTTAAAGCTTTTGGCTTTGAACTTTCTAGGCATCACAGGAAATAAGTAGAAAAACAAACATGAACAGAATTGATGGTCATGACTTCCCCAAATGTTTAGCAAAAAGTGCCCTAATTATTTCAGAATCAAAAAACATATGCAAGGTTGCAGAAAGTTTCAGAACCTCAGCACACCCAACTATAGAAAAAGGATAAAGTATGAGACAGTGCATTATGAAATGAAAATGAGAAACGATATAAAAGTGTTGGTGCTTACTACTATGCAACTATCACAAAACCAAGGGCTGGAAGCAGATGTGCAGCTGGTGGGCCAAGACAGTTCACAAACAAGATTGGGGATGGACAATTCAAACTCAGATGGTCTAGTGACTCCCTACAAGGCCAGCAAATGCAAAATAAACTCAGAGTCACTATTAAAATAGTAAATGAAGGAATTAAACCACCAATGTGTCAATTCAATGTATGACCCTTCATAGCTGAAAAGTCCTTACAGAAAGAGAGTTTCTTGGCTCAGAAAGATTTTGTGGGCCGGGGTTCTAGTGAGACAGGGCACATCTCCTCCTTTGTGCCCCCACACCAAGGGCCAAGAACCTCCTCGTGAAAGCAATTCCACCCTTGGCTGAGTACTCTGGGTATTAGTTTGGAAAGATAACAAAATGCATCAAGTATAACAAAAAGCCAGTAGCTAGTGACTTGCTCTAGGGGCTTTTATCTGCAATTCTGTAGATTTTAAAAGAGTGATCAACACATCATTTATAAAAATGCTGACAAAATCTGGTTTCATTTACTCTGTACTGCTGCAGTGACATATGGATTGACACTTGTAAGCATGAATAGTACTTAAATATATATTTTACATCCAGTGTCAACTGCAATAGAAATTATTCTTTACAGTAATAGTGCACAAAAGTCATGTTTTCCTGTCTGTTCAGTTGTTTTCACATCTTTTGAAATGTTCTCTCAATATATTTTTATTGACTACATGTATTAACTCATATTTATTTTGATACAGATGAACAAGACAGAATCTGACATTAAATCCATCTCTGTTCAGCTATAAAGACCATGAGATGAGTTTCCTGACACATCCATTGACTGGATTGAAGATGTTAACCGTGAAAAATGGTTGTTAGCAGTTAAAGGTACAGCTGACTGTTCTGAACTTCTAGAATTATATCCTGCAGTCCTAGATATATTTTGAAAAGTCAGAATTGAGCAGAAGTTAGAGTAAATTATCACATAAACAAACTACATTCCAGTGGTCAAATGCTTTATACAGGAAGCTTCCTGGATTGAAATATTCTTAAAAAAGAAACCAGTCAGATGTACATAACTACAGAAACAAATACCTTTTAAGAGAAGAAACAAAGTATTTTATAAAAAACACTATGACAGAATTAAAAAACAAACAAACAAACAATAGTTTTAACCGTCACCATGAAATACAATGAGTGTTTTAGAACATAAACAAGACAGGTATTTTCCCCACTCCAAAAATCATTCCTCATCTTAGTTTGAAAAAATACCTGCACAACTAAAATTCCCCCCCCCCCCCCCCCCAAAAAAAAAAGACTTTAAAGACTTGTTTTTTAAAGTCTTTCCACAAATCTCAGGTTCTCAACTTGATGCTTTAATAATTACCTCAGAAGTCAGTATTTTGTGCTATCTAAGTGCAGAACTGACACTTCTCTTTCTACCTTTGAGCCTTTTATGAAACTGCTTGCCTTTTTGCTTCTGTCCAGTTATTCTCATATTCAGCTCTCCTTCCAAGTATCTTCTTCCTTTTGCCACGTTCCAATGTTTTTCAATTCAGTTCCTAAGAAGGTTCTCCTGTTTCCCTCTCAGCCAGGAATCGCTCCTTCCATGGCCGCTTGGAAATTTCACAGACAACTGTTTCTATTTATCTTTTGCTATAAGAGAAAGATTTCCCCCTTCCTAGCAGAACTCAATATTAATCCATAATTAGTAAGGTGGGGGTTGGCCTGTTCTCCCACGTGCCTGGTGACAGGATGAGGGGGAATGGGCTTAAGTTGCACCAGGGGAGTTTTAGGTTAGATGTTAGGAAGAACTTCTTTACTGAAAGGGTTGTTAGACACTGGAACAGGCTGCCCAGGGAGGTGGTGGAGTCACCATCCCTGGAAGTCTTTAAAAGATGTTTAGATGTAGAGCTTAGGGATATGGTTTAGTGGGGACTATTAGCGTAAGGTCAGAGGTTGGACTCAATGATCCTGAGGTCTCTTCCAACCTAGAAATTCTGTGATTCTGTGATAATCATCTTGTGTCACTGCAGAGACTGGACCTGAATATTCTTCTCTTTTGAAGTCCAACATAACCCCATATAATAGTAACCACATGCTTCTCAACACAAAGAGCAAATCTTCAAATTGCAATACATGATGCAAATATCCTGGAACAGTTTTAGAGGAGTAGTGTGAGCACCCTACTGAGGAAGCCCCGCTTCCTTTTTCATTAAATCCCGTTGGTTTGCTTTTTAAAAAACAAACAAACAAACAAACAAGAGTAGTTCCTAAATATAGTCAAATGCTGATCTTGACAATATATGACATTTTACCTTTCATGACATTTTCTTTTCAATAAATGTATAATCCTACTGAAATAGCATGCTGACTACTCACCAAATATCAGATTTTGTGTTATAGCCCTGGTGTTTCAGTGCCTCTGGACTCATGTAGTACGGTGTTCCAGTAAATGTAGTTGCCAGATCACATGAACCCATCAAAAGACGAGAAACTCCAAAGTCCCCTAAAAGTGACAACAGAAAGATCCGCCCCCAAACAATTAAGCACAATAAGACTAAAATTCTTACAATTCTTACAATTCTTTAGAATTCTTACAATTCTAAAATTCTTCTGTTCACTTTCCATTTTTAAATTAAGATCCACATCCTCAGTTTGTATAAATGGTCAAAATTCCAGACGTCAACACAAAAACGTTGTTTTACAGAGAACCAAGAATATTGGTAATGAGATAGAGATTTTTTTTTAATTCCTGCTTATCACTTCAAAGTCAACCCAAGTTGACTGTAATTAGTAGGAATTTCTTATCTAGGTGTCCATCTTATTTAAAATTACATGGAATAATGGGCTGACCTACTTCCCCATTTCTACCTACAGTCCATTTCAAAGGGAGGGATCAGCCTTTGCCAACTCTACTTATATTTCCAGGAAATGGCCCAAGGGATTAAACAAAAAAGGTTTTGTCCACATGTTCTGGTAACTTCTACAGATAAAAAAAATAACGATGCTGTTGGGATACTAAGAAAGGTTTTGCCCTGTCAATGTGTATGTAGTGAATAGCTCTAGGCATCAGAGTTTGATACTTCGGTACCACTGTGATTAATAATACAAAAAAAAAATCAGAATTGTGTTTAAACCAACCTGTTATAATAAATGCTTGGAACTCTTTATGAAAGTGAAATTAATACAAAATAATTTCAGTGGCAACAAAGAACTTAACCTGTAAATACTGCTTTTTGTAAATAAAGAGGATGAATTGGGACATAGATCAGGAAATCCATGTTAGATTTGAAGCACAGATGATAAAAAAGCAAGATACTAATTAAATATTTACATTTCAAGAGCATATGCAAATATTTATCTATTTGTATAAACTATTGTTAGTCACAATACAATAACTGAATGTTAAAAAATTGAATAACTTTTAAATATGGTTTTTCAAAATAACACCACATAGAAGAACATAGTTTCAAGAGGCCTCAGGAAGTCATCTGATTCAAACCCAACTCAAATCAGGGCCACCTGCAAAGCTACACTGAGGGTGTTCAGGTCTAGGTCCAGGTGAGCTCTGAGCACCCTCAAGGCTGGGATTTCAGTGCCTGTATGGGTCCCTGTTTCTGTGTATGCCTGTCAGGTAAATGTTTGACCACAAATCAAACACTACATCAGACATCACTTTATGTAAATCTTATTCACAGAATGTCTGCTGGATTGTTCTACCATAGTAAAACATATCTTTAAAAAGCATGCAAGTCTCACCGATTTTAAGAAGATTATTCTTCAAAAATATATTCTTGGCTTTCAAATCTCTGTGAAGTATTCGCCTGGAATACAAAAAGAAGTTCAACCTCATCTGACTTGAATGATTCAAAGTCACATACCAAGTATTTCAATTATTTATCTTCATTCCTTGCTAGGAAGGCCTGCCTAGTGCTGGTACAAGTCTAACCCTGTAAGTGACAATGCACAGAGACTGGCATTAAGGAGCTTCACAAAAACACAGAGGTACATTCACAGACACCCACAGGTGGGATGAGAGCCTAAGCAGCCAGGATAATAAAAATGCACCCATGGATCCCAGCTTGAGAATACGAATACAGGTTTAACATGAGCTGCAGAGCAAAAGAGAAAAGTGTGTCTTCCTGTCTGGCTCTTCTTAAAAGCATGACATCCTATTTTCAGCCAGAAGAATAAGACGTGTCACAATAGAATAAGGGATGAGAAAAAACAGCAATAAGAGCAATAAGCTCAGGTAACCCTCCTGCAGAGAAAACGTATTAACTTGAAAGACAAACATGTATATAGACTAGGCTACTTGTACAAATTTTTACAGTAATGGTCTGGAAGATAAAAGAACTTTACAAAGACAGAGATCAAAAGGAAAAGAAATAGAACAACTAGCTTTCACAGATATATTTTTCCATCAAAGACTGAAGCAGCATCAGAAGATACACACCATGCCAGGACAAACAGCATCTCCTCCATTTCTAGAGATCTTAATGCGTGACAGTAATTTTCCAGCTCATTAAGAAAAAAATATATCTCTACAGTACACAAAGCATCTTCTCAATTAATTCTTACTAATAACACTTCCAAGAGGTTTCCCTACAACCTCAGCCAAACTTGAATTCAACCACTTAAGTTCCTTACAACTAATACTGTGTGTTATCAAGCCACCATCTCTGCTGAGGAGGAGCTTAGAATAGCTTCAGTACATAATGACTACTGAAACTGTGTTTGGTATTACAAATACACTACTTGTTTAGTCATTTAGAACAGATAAAGAAAGCAACAGAGGATCTACGATTCCTGAGAGGCTCTAAGATTCTTGAGATGTGGGCAGAAAAACTCAATATGGTAATAGATTTTATTTGTTCCTGAGCAATCCTCAAGTATTATGTCAAATTTTAGTGAGTTATTATAGTCTAATGTATTTAATGCATTGAGATACTGAAATGATTTCCAAAATAGCTTCCATATTAAGTCCAGAAAATACGTATTCTACAGCACAATTAAAATAAGCAATTTAGTCCACATCTCATTGGAAAATATTTTTTTTGCAAAAAAATATTTTTTTGCAAGAAAAGAAAAAAATTATTTAATTCAATATACTTAGTTCATAAATTGGGGGAGAGGAGAGAAAAATAGCTATTAGCAGATATTGTAGTACACACGTAGCTGAACAAGGAAACATTTCTATTTTTATGGGACATAAAGAAAAGAGTTCTTTATACATTATGGATTTTTTTTTTCCATTTTTTGTCCTGAAAATAACACTTCTAGTGAGAGATTATACATTTGCAAAAATGAAAGTTTTATTCACCATGTCTCCACTGATGTCTATAAATAGTTTATTCTCTACTTGGCAACTTTCTTGAGCAATACACATACATTTATCATGCATTACATCGGTAAGGAAATTAAGCTAAGATTATATTCCTTATTATTTTATAAGCCCATATACACACAGTTGTATATAAATCTTGCTCTGTCAATTTAGATTCATAAAGTACTTCCTTACTATTCATCACACAGAGCTTTAAAAGAACTTGACTTCACTGTCTCAGATTTTTATTTTTTTATTATTATTTTGTTGTTGTTGTTTTTAGTTTTGTAGAAAAAGAATCTTGAACCTAAAAGTTAGCTGGGCAACTGTGATTTGAATGACAAGTATCTTGATGTATGAAAAATATGCAGAAAACTTTCAGTAACTTATTACACGAGATAAAGAGAAGTATTTTGGCTACAGTGGTTTGAAATGGAATATAATGCTAATATAAACATGAAACATAGCGATGAAAATATGATGCAAATTATTTGTGTTGCCAATAATTATCAGATGCTTTTATGTATTAATATGAGTAAGAAATTTTGGGGGTAATTTTTTTGGAACTTCCCATGATGATAACTCTTGATACCAGCCACTTCAATATGCCAGGATACCTCAGAAGATTAACAAGTTACAAGCTGAAACCTTAACTGAAACAACTACTTTAATTCTAGCAAGAAATAAATATATGTTGCCAATAAAGGGAACATGAATTAACTGGACTCCAGCAAATCTTAATCTAACTTGACAGTTAGTGAAGTGGTTATTGATATTTTGGGTAGAAATTAACACTTCAGGATGGTTTTAAATTTAGACTATAAATACACCCGTACCTATGTTCTACAGATTACCTGCTTGCTGTCTCATACTCATAAAAAAGCAGCACGGATCACTGAGCAGTAGGCAGCCTCCTTCAATAAAGATGCCTCTGCAACATACCAGCAAGTGAAGCTGATTGAAGCTGAAGTAGTTTGCTTCTGCGAAATATTCAGCAATATATTTCTCTTTCCTTTGTCTGAAGAACTATTCTGAGAACTAAGAGGTTCTGGGCAACTGTGAGTCCTGTACTAGGAAAGACAATGTGAAATCCAGATAGACTTGGACAGCGTGTGCTACCCTATAGATTGAAAGCAACAAACTTGTTTGAATAAATGGTAACCTTATCAAAATCTCTGTGTTGGCATACTGTTCATAAAGATTAGCAAAGTGATGGATAACATAATGGTCAGCTATATTCAAATTGAGGTTAAATGAATCAATGGCTTCATTGCCTGAGTGCTGTGGGATCAATTTTGTGCACTAATATGTGATGAGCTACAAGTATGCCAGAGAGACCAGATGATGGTTTCATGCTAACTCTCTCTGTCTAGATAAGACCACTGAACTATGCTGCCTGTCCTCTACTTGTCTCTTCCGTTATATCAATGACAGATGAGGATTGCATCTATTTAATTCTAGATAATTTAGCTTTCAAGTTTAAGTTCAAAAATCCTTCAATTATGTAAAATAGACAGTAGATAGCAGAGTCACCGGGAGATATTCATAACCCCTTTGGGATTTATGAAGCATAAGTAAAAGACATGAATGCCTAATCTGTACAATCTGCTTTATTTGGGGGGAAGAGAGCAACATAAGGTAGAAAAACAGTTCTTTCTGGAGGTAAATCTCAAGAATGAGAGTTTTCAAAAAGTGTAGTTTTCAAAAAGTTCAACTAATGGTGCACAAGAAACAGATCCACACAATAATTTATGTCTAGAACCAGAAATTATCATTTTTGCTGTTCTAGGATAAAAACTCCCACCCAAAGCAGCTAGATTTTCTAAGAAATGGCATGAGGAAGTCCAACCCACAGATAATGAACATTTCAAGATTCTAACTCTAGGGCAAAGTTTTCTTGCATTAAAACATAGTTCAAATATGTATTAAACCTTTTTTTTTCCCTTACCAGTATAGAAGAAATCACATACAACTCCTTCATACATAAACAGAGGGCTGTTATTCTCTGTTTGTATTTCAGTAATTCCAACAAATTTCTGCAGGTACTTTTAAAGCCTTTTAAGCCTAGGCTTTGCCATTTAAGCTACTGTTTGGCTTAATAATAATAAGATAGAGAATAGTTTTCTAATGTGAATACAGTTAAAACCACAATATAATATAGGAAATACAAATAAAACTGTCAAGTCATTTCTATGTGTGTGGAGAGGTGCTATTAAATAGCTCTAATTCAAAGAGAGAAAATTAAATGCTGTTTGGAAAATCAAATTGTTACTTTCACTGGAGAATTCAACTGTACTTTTCAGGAAACCCAGTAATTTAACATACACATTTATCAAAGTGTTTATTTATAAGAATTTTTTGAAAGATTTATTTGAGAACAAATAGAAGATGAGAAAAATAAAGGAAAAAAAGAAGAGCAGACAAAGGGACCTGTGAGAAAAGTGCAGATAACAGAGGCATAAGGAAATACAGAAGATAAAAGACAAAAAGAAAGAACAACTTATACAATACATTATTATTATTATTATTATTACTCTGCATTAGTCTACACAATACATCCTCTAAACACACAGGTTAAAGAAAGGATTTTACCAAAAGTGGACCTTCCAGATTAGTAACATTTTTATGATACATTATTAAACCAGAATTCAAGAAGGGGGAAAAAAAACACTAATAGTTCAGTTAAACAGTCAGGATTTTTATTTCAATTTTCCTCTGTCCTTTCTGCCTGAGGTGAGTGCTGAAAAACACAGCATCCCAAGAGATCTCTCTTTGTTGTGCTCCCATCACTGCAGTCTGTGGGGATGGCATGGTGCATCACGTACAAGCCCCAGATAAATTGGCATTTAGGAACCAAAATGTTCTGAGTCACAGACAGTAATTCACTCTGCCCTTTTCCCTCTACAGTCTGACTCTGCAGGTGCAAAAACTCATTAGGCATCTCTCAGTTTAGGTCAAATGTATCCTACATACTTCACTTCAGCTCAACTGAGAAACAGTTGTTCTTGTTGACCGGTGACTATCTCCACCTGCTCCTCTCCTCTCTTGAAACTCAAGTTCAAGCAACCAAATTTGGCCCAAGCTACTTTAAGATAAATTTGAAACAGCTACATCAACTTGGTGCTGTTTTCAGCCTCAATTTAGCAGATAATAATCTTTCTTTTTTAACGACTCATGCAGAATAAAAGACTAATTATTCTAGTTTACATTCTGAATAGAAAAAAAGAAAAAGACAAGAAAAAAAGAAGAAAGGAAAAAGAAAGAGAAAATAGAAGAGAGAGGACAAAAAGAGGTAAAGAGGAAAAAAATAAAATAAAAAAGAGAAAAAAAGAATTCTCATCTCCAGACTCTGGATGTAACCTAACTTTTCTCTCTTTCTCTCTCCCCCCACTAGCTGTACTAATAATTTAAGCCATTATTCTTGGCGAAATTATTATTATTTTAATTTTTCATCTCTTGAAAACATGCATCTAAATCTGAGTAAGGTAGTGTGCAGATTAGTTATTTACAATTGGCAAAGTAGGTGTTACACCTACATAGGAGAAATATCCTCAGCCTGTGCTAAGACAGTCCTTGCAGCAATGACATTCTTCATTCTGAAAATTCAATAGCAATGATAGCCCAAACAGTTCATCTTGGCAGGATGAAACACCTTGCAAATCACACTGGGGGCAAGAACTACACTCACAGAGATGACCAGGTAACTATTCACCTGTTATTATCTCTGTTCCAAACAAGTGAGGTCTCCGCAGCTGTTCAGAAGTCTGCAAACCAGTGCAAGCATCTTGTGTGGAGTGTGCTACAAGCAAATCCAAGGGATGGTCAAGAATGTTGGATCCCTAATGCTCACATAAAACTTCTTAAGCCTTGCATTGAGACCTTATTACACCAATGCTCTACGACTCTCCATCAGACGACCAACTTGACACATGTGGTGTCATGGAATCTTACACTATTAGTTATGAAATGTGTTAATCATAGTCTCATGAAATCACTGTCTTAATGATCTCCAGTAATTTTTTAGGTTAATCTTTGATGTGTTGTTAAAAGTAATGTCAGTTTTCAAAGAATGTAAGCATATAAGATTTTAAGGGGATTACATCAAGCACTTATATTTGATTCTTCACATTAAACATCTGCAAGAGCTCTTTGCTGAATCCCCTTAAAAGCTGTCTTTATTTTAAACTTGAAAACTGTTTATTCTAACAATATTGTGCAATTTCTACCATGTTAAATTTTTCACTTGGCTCTTACAGAATTTGTCTCACACTGAAAGATATTTATCACTGCACCACTAAAGATGTAACATATAATATCCTTGCATGATAGACAATTAATTACACTTTATGTATACTACACATACACTATACTACACATACATGTACACTACAGCAGTTCGTTGACTAGGATTTTATTCCAATAAAAATAATCAATATGGTTCAATTTCTATTTGAATAAATACAAGTCAGTAAATGCTTACTCACTTCCCTCACGAGTTGAATGCTCTTGTATTAAAGCAAATGACTGTACCTTTCATGCATATAGTTGACTCCAAGTAACAACTGTATAAACCAGTCTATTATTTGTCTTTGAGTGAATACTTTCCCAGATTGTTTGTACTCTTGAATTTTCAAGTCTAGATCTCCACCCTGAAAAACATCACAACATTTTACATTTAAAGTAAGTACATTTAAAGTTAGTTTTTAAAATGTCTTCTCCTTCATGAAATCACAGGATGCCATTTTCTTACACCTTCAGGCTCCGTAGAGCACAGGCAGTAAAATTAATGCTGGCACATGAATTCTGAACTCTCACAGCACCAAAAGCATACAGAACTGAGGATCAAAATGAGATCAAGCTGTCTGGCTGCAGAAGGAAATTAGGTCAGTTCTCTCTCAAGAGTTACATAAAATCACAAAAGTTTTCAACAGTTCTCACTTCATGCCACCCAACTTTAGACATGTACATCTGAGCTAGTCACCTCAAACTCCCTTAATTATAATTAAGGCAAAGGAACAGTCACTTACATAGTGCAATTAGCTCTGCCATGTCTGTCTTAGGAAGGGATGGATCATGTTGTACAAATGCAGTTTCTCTATAAAGGTTTATGAGGTCTACATTGTCCAGCTCAGATGTAAACAGCTAAGTTGAAGGAAATTAATCTGCCCCTGAATGGTCCGAACAATAGTTTGTAAATCTAGGGAAAACATTTCCACTTAAGTTGAACAATGCACAGTCAAGAGACATTCTCATTTTTTACACTGAATAAGCATATCAGCAGTGAAGAAACCGTGCTGTTCTCTTAAGAATTAAAATACAGACTCTTAAATTATGATACTTTGTCTCTCTTCCAAATTCTCTTTTGTCAGAAACAAAGCAGAATTAAACTGTCTATAATCTGTGGCATGTGTTTTTGTAGATACTTCATTAAAATTACAATTGAATCTAGAAGTAACACTAAAAATGGAGCAGTATGATACATAGCAAGCAGTGCCAAATAAACTAGAAAATATATACAGAAAAAGACTACTCGAAAACTATAAAGGCAGATATTTGTAAAAATCAGTCAAACAGCATGATGAGGCTCTCAAAGAAGCTTAAATGAAAACTGTTTATTTTGCTAAAAAAGAGAGGAATGGTTGTTTATCCACTTTATAAAATAAATGGATTTTGTTTACAAGAATGCACATTAGTGGCAAGTACTATGTCGAGGTAACTAATCCCAGAGCAAAGGATGGTGAGTCTAATTCTATTCTAGTGATTAATTACCTTACGTCAGGACAACCTACTCTGCATAAACCATTACTTCTGCATAAAATCAGAAGTATTATGTGCCACGTACAAGAAAATAGTTTAACCTGTACCACTGTGTATAGAAAACAGACTACTAGTTATGCTGATACATGCCATTTCTCATTATCAACCCTTCTCTATGCTGTTGACTCCAAAAGGTTATGGTCTCTTCAATATTCCTTGTTTTTCTGTTCCCAAAACCACAGTGCTTCATAGTGATGTTACACAATAAGCAGGTTCTGTCCTTGCAGATCTATACGTTTCTATTTCAGCATGAGTTTACAATAGTGTTTGCAGTTCTTCAGGCTCTAAAAGTTGCAATATTCACGAGTGATTGTGTTGAAAAAGAAAATGTTTTGTCATACATGAAAAATGTGTTCCCTGACAACGTCCTGCGATTTCTAAATTGAAATGTCTGAGTCATCTTGTTCACTAGGGATGGGAATAGGGCTTCGACTCTCCATCTGCATCCCTGCTGCAGCCCAGAGAGAAGCTCTTCTGGGAACTTGGAGCTCTGAGCAGCTGCTTCCCCTTTGCAACTCCAAATGTTCAACAGCTTCCCAATGGCTGCTCACAGTGGAGCAGAGGAAGGGAAGAAAAGGTATTGCTGGGTACTCTGCTGCATGGCAACCAGATGGGCTGTGCCTGAGCCTACACACCTCAAAAGTAGTGACTCACCTACTCCAGATGGCTGCCCCAGACCATTGAGAGGCAATGGCAGCAGTAGCCCAAGATTCAAGGACTGCTCTGACACGTGCTGCTGCAGGATACTGTCCCCAGGGGACTGTCCCAGTAAGGAAAGCTGAGGTGCAATAAGTGCTGATCACCATTTCTCACTGTCCCAATATGAAATCTCTCAATCACATGTTGACACACACAGAAAAAAAAGCAAAGAAAAGAAACATAGGAAGTGAAGAGTTAGGCTGGTGGGTGCTCTCATGTATGGGGAGGTTTCTTGCAGACGGTCGAAGAAGAAAAGCAGCCAAATAACTACATGTGCCCGCAGGTTAACTGTATTGCTTTTCACAAGACCGGTCTCAATGTCCCACAGACAATTTAACCTTAATTTTGTGTCTAAAAAGGGAAAACAAAAGTGTATCATAAAAAAAAAAATGCTGAAATACTGCTGCCCAATTTTACATTCTGGAAGGCCAGTTACAATGAAGTTCATAAGGAAGTTAACAAATGAAATAGGAAGTTTCCAAGCTGCAGTTTCTATTTAAATGTCAAAAGCATCAAACACACCAGTAACTTATTTAAAACAGCTTAGTACCTAGCACTGATAATGTGAACAGGCATTCATTGCTCTAGTTATTGCTTTCCCTCAGATTTCCTTAGCATATGTATACTCACATCACAGCGAGACTGCAGTGAAGAGACAGAAATAATTATCTGGGGGAAGGTGCAACTAGTTCTGTTTTATGATGTACTAAAATGATACAACATTTAAAGGAACTACATTATTTTAATTTATAAAAACTATTTTATTGAAGTCCGATTTACATCACAAAATTAAATCCAAGGTTCGTGAAACCAAAGGTTCATTTTTGTTTCAAATCTGACTTAAATGACAAAGTTTAGATTGCCTATATGACTCTGAATGAGGGCAACTGCCACAGAAGCTCAACGAGAAAACTGAAACTGAATACATGTACTTCCTTTCTATAAATTTGATAGAATTCAGTTATAATAAAAGATGTCAAGCTTTTTGTTCACAGGACAGGTTTAGCACAGGGCAGCTGCATTGGAGGTTCACTCTGAACAAGTCAAGCAATAATGAACAAAGTACAGTAGCTAATGAATAAGTCACAGTACTTTGGAGAAAACAGAATAAGGCTGAAAGGGTAGTTCTGTTTCCATGCCAACTGGATGTTTATTCTTTATTCTGAGTCTGCCCAAGAGTACAAATTACTGCCAATGTGGTAATTATTCTATGCATGAGAAACTGAATGTACTAGACTTCCATACAAGGATCGGACCGGAGAGCAACACATTTTTCTTATTCTCAATTGAAATTGACATATTTTTCATAAAAAGATCCTATTCCCACCACATTAAAAAATGTAGAAAGAGAAATAAATACAAAGATGCTATAGAGAAATAAATACAAAGGTATAACTTCTAGAAATACCCAAGGTAAGATAGAAAAGAATCTTTATAGCAGTATGAAAAACCTTGCTTTGTACTTCCCTTGCCTGAGTATTTGATTAAATACATCCTAATTGCTTAAATGCAGTGATACGACATCGCCTGTCCTTTTGGAAAAATCAGAAGCAAATCCTAGTGGAGCCAGTGTCATTTTTACCTGACCTAGCAAACTCAAAACTGAAAAGATTCAGCTGCACAGCCAATGCATCTATTTCCACCTTCTTTATTTGCCCTGTTCTAATACATTCTCATGTGTTTGAGTATATGTCTCCCGGATCCTAGGGCAACTCCGCACTGAAACACTCATTCAGTTTACCTGAACAGAGAAAGGCTCTAGGGGGTGTTGCAGCAGCTGTTGATTATTATTGATTACTATCTTGCCCTTTTTCATTCACCACTAACTATTTCAGATGGAAAAAATAAAAATAAAAAGCAGTGGACCAAAGCCACCTCCTTAACGCTACTAAAAGAGATTCCTTTATTCCTATAGGATCAACTGACCTGGTTTTGGGCGACTTTCTACCACTGACAGAGAGAAAGTGATTCACCATGCACAGGAATATCTGGGCAGTTAGGAAAATGTTTCAGTTACCAGGTCTGGAATTCCAATGAGAGTTGGCAATATAAAATTTCCACAAAGCCTCAGCTGTCAGATATTCAGGGCATGTAGCAAAGTAGCTTCTGCATGGGTGTTAAAATAGGATGTTAACAAATGTTTAGATTCTATAACAGAATCAAACATTTCAGATTTAATAAAAATAAATAAATACCAGCTAAAATGTGCGTTTAAGTGTCATCGAAGAAGGCAAGGAAGCAATGACTGGCAGGAATTGTACTTCTTTAATTATTCACGCCAAAGCTGGATGCTTGGAGAAACGTGATTACAAGTCTGATGGTGGACAGATAACCCAGTGGTCCAATGTCATTAGCTTTCAAAGCATTTCAAATGTCTAGCAGAGCACGACTGAAAATTCTGCTTCACAGTTTCATAAAAAGCGCACTACATGTACAACAGATGTTTTTAGAATAGTACATCTATATTTAATACAAAAGTAGGGACTTGTTTCATATAAACTCTTAAATTGGCTTAAATATGTTTAAATACTTCTTTTAAAAATGCCTTAAGACAGATTTCATCAACATGTTTTTAAACCAAATGCTGCAGTCAAAAAAACTGGCAACGATACTGTCATATAGCCTGTTTTAGTATTTATTGTATCCTCTACACTCTGGTCTTTGACTCATACAGTGTTCTCCAATTTATAAAGCAAATTCTGCTACCAAATTCATGGTTCATATGATCAGGCTTAAGCTTCTTGTAATCAGCTCCAAATCATAAGAGAGTTTTCCCTCCCTGATTTACATCAAATTTCACACTGCTTCCCCACAGACCCAGCCTCATCTTCTCTTATCCCTTAGTAGTACATACATGGTACAAACTTTCTAGGCTCACCTGGAGACCTCATTATGTGTCCGCCTTTAAGTCTGACTTGAAATACTGATTACAGTGAACAAAATGAACCGGTATTTAAATCACCTGTTTTCTCTTCTCTGGTTTGTTTGTCTATAAGCTATGAATCTGTGAGCTCAAGTGACCAGGTAAACATTGTGTTTATGAAATATGCCTAACAAATAGCAAGTGATAACCACAATTAAAGAATAAGTTGAGAGTAAAATTCAAACTAGAACATTAACAAACAAACAAAAAAAAACTGAGCTATGTTTCTTTTAAGACCCTATTTTAAATCACACATTCTGTCAAATTTCTTCCAAGTAACCTAAAAGTCTCACCTCGCAGTACTCTGTGATAATGCAGAAACTATCTCGCTCCACAAAGCTTGCATAAAATTTGACAATGGATGGATGGTCTAATTTGGAGAGTAGTTGTGCTTCCAGATTTGCTTCAACTGTTTCATTAGGCTTTAGGTCTCCAACAGAGATCTCCTTCAGGACCTTCCTAGAGGAAAAAATAAATCTTCATATTAATAAAAACAGAAAAATAGAAAATCACATAACGCTCATAAACCCACCATAATTTCTTAAAATGTAAAATAATAACATTAACCACTTATTTGGCAATACAAAATAATGAGGCAAATATGGGTAAACAAAGAGAATGCATTTAAATGCCATAAATATGCTAGTCACCATAGTGATTAAGCAACATTTTAAAGATGAGATTTTGAAGGATTGTTCACACCAATTCCCTAATGCACTGTTTTCTTCATGACATGTTTTCAGAGCTATGGATTACTGCATAATAATAAACATAAATAAAAAAACAAATCTAAGTGATTTCAAACCCACTCAGAGCATATGTTCAAGACTCATACAAGAAATAAGAAGTGGCAAGAAACAGTCTGGTTTTGCTGCTTCTTCCAAAGTCTCTCCATGGATGCATGAGAAAAATCATAGGTTAGAATTTCTGTGACTGTTTTTCTGATTAAAGGTCAGGACAAGAATTTGTTTTATTAGGTAAAAACACCAAGAGACCTGCATGGGTGAACAAGGAGCTCCTGACCAAGCTTGAACAGAAAAAGAAGGCATATGGAGAGTGGAAGAAAGGACAAAGAGCCTAGGAGGGATACAGAAACATTGTCCGAGCAGCCAGGGATCAGGTGAAGAAAGCCAAAGCCCGTTTAGAACTAAATTTGGCCAGAGACATAAAGGGCAGTAAGAAAGGGTTCTATAGGTTTATTGTTGATAAAAGGAAGACTAGGAAAATTGTGGGCTCCCTCCAGAAGGAAATGGGAGACCTGGGATATGGAGAAGGCTGAGGTATTTAATGACTATTTTGCCTCAGTCTTAAGAGACGCTTAGAAATGGCTCATTGATCTTTATCTGAAAGCCATTTGAGACTACTAGAGAATATCACAGTAATTTATTGAAACAAAGTGAAGAACTTCCAATAACTTGAATACATGAAAGGTAAGTTTGACATTGAAGGAATGTCTTCACTGAGCTTTTGATGATTTCCCGTTTGATACTGCATGGTTGTAAAGTCACAATATTTAAAAATGACAGGGATAAAACTACAGTAGTTCGATTGATCTAAGGAAAAAATGGTGTATTCCTTCATAAGAAAATTCCTTCCTAAATCTCAACCATCAGTTACTAACAATGCATGAATTTTTACTTAAACTTGCCTAGTCCTCATCTGGCAGTGTGATGAAAAACTGTGCCACTTCATTTGTCTGCATCTCAACAGACAAGCCTCATGCTACAAAGACGGGTAATACCTACTACAATCTTCTCATCTGCAGCTGTCATGGGGACATTATTCTTTCCTTCACACAGATCACATCGCAGAACTGACAAACAGAATGATTCCTTGTTAAACATCACTTAATACAACTTCCTTGTATGCCCAGGACAGCAATAAAAGCCTGATGTGTTGATGTTGTGGGATAGCTTGTCATCTTAGTCACTCGGTGATTTTGATGCTGTCATCAGCTGTCAGACAACAAGATGGGTGTTTTTCTTATTAAAATACATTCCCAGCAGAACAAATCAGGAAAATGTGCTTTTGTAAATAAGTTCCTAGCTTTCTGCTACATAATGCTAATTCATAGCCAGAATCGGAAGACGTTTACATCTAGAAAGAAAACTTTGGTCATGAAACCAAGATTAAGCATATTTGCATGCCGCTGGTATGTGTACTGCTTCTGCCGGTGAGTTTGATTTTGCCACATTTAATATGAAGATAACTACTGGAGTTTATGCCTTTTGCAGAGTTTTTTTTTGTTGTTTGTTTTGTTTTGTTTTTTATCTACTTCAGTAAATAAACTCAAAATTATATTTAAAGGACTCTGTATTGGTTAAGTATTGGCAAAGAAGGTATGTCAGGGTCTCAGAAGTCTCGTAGAGAAAATGGGTAATAGTTTCCAGATCTAACGTGGCTCCTTCCTGATAACCTTAGAAGAAAATATACTGAAGCTAAAAGCATTCAGATAGAATTTCATCTATGCAAATTAACTGTATTTTCCAACACATAAAACACATTCATGTGCTTAAATTCACTCTAACCCATCCTTCCCTGCGATTTAAGATATATATCCCAAATTTGGCAACCCTAGTGATATCAAACGAGCTTATAGATCTATAAAGCTGATAGTATTTATACCTATCAAAAAAAGAAAAAAAGAAAAAAAAAAGAAAAAAAAAGGCAATCTTAAGGAAAGCACAAACTTCTCTTAGCCAAACATTCCTGAATAGATTTCCCCTCAACCAAAAGAACCTAGCTCTACACTTTGAAAGAGATGAAGTGTTTCTGTTTATGTGATACAACCTGCATTTTCAGATTGGTTGATAATAGTTACGTCTGCACATAATTCAGCTACAGTACCTGTGTATCATCTGCTGAAAATCTATAAGCACTGAACAGCTTAGAAATATGTAGTTAGGTTACACAATGCATTTTAAACAAATCTTTTGAAGCATGTTATCAGAACATACAGTATGAATATCAAAAATAATAGATTGTCCTGCTAAGATTTTGCTGGGTCTCCATCTAGAGTATACCAGCCCATCTGAAAGTCAAACTTTTCAAAAAGCTGCCCCTGTCTTTTCTGCCACTAAGGCTCAAATATAAGCAAGACTTAAAAGGTCCAAAACTATTTGAATGAACTACGAAATCATAGATTTGAGTGGCACATACAAAAAAAATGGGTAAAACACTTAAATGTGGATGTCCTCCAAATGCAGTATTTATAACTACTCCTTCTGATATAATGTCAAAAAAAAAGTGCTAGTTTAGATTTATTATTATAACTGCGCTTAACTTAGAATAGAAACAGAAGCACATTAGATACAATGTCAGTGACCACACAACTTGAAAACTTAGTTATTGAAGGACTAGCAGGTATCTTAAAGTTCAATACAAAATAACAGCCTCCAGATTTTAACTGCATGAATAGAAAGCTAGCCCTGTGATTTGATACCATGAAGACACTTTGAACTTGATCTTGAACTGACTGTAGCTGAAAGGGCCTTTGAAGTGAATGCATTCACATCTAAAGAATAAAAACCACCGCCTGTCACTGTTTGCATCCATCCTAGAGAAAAATGGATGTGGTACCAACAGCAGCGATCCCCTCTGGGGTGGGAAAACAACACCAGAGGCAAGCCCACTCCCAAAACCCAGAAACCAGCTGTCCCATCTCTGAAGTCCCCTTGCTCACAGGACTTCCCAGGGAACACTGCCTGACTTTCATCAGCAAAACCTCGCCGGCTTGCATTGTCACGCTTTGAAACGCAGCCAGGCCAGCACACCGTGCCTCCAAGTGCAATAATGCGGAGCAAATGGGGAGAAATAGAGCAAGACCTAAAACAAGAGAAAACAAGCACATAGGTGGAATCCTCGAGGATACGGACACCCGGTGGGAATCCTTTCTCGAGCTTCACTAGTGACTGACAATATGCCACAGCAGTGTTTATCTCAGTCTATTTGCACTGATCTAAAATTAAATGTTTTACAACCCATCTGGTATTTGTTTACATTGATGGCGTGCTTTATTATTATATAATTTGGTTTATTGGATCAGATGCAATTTTTAAAAGACGACAGCCTATCTCAAAAGGCACTCCGTTTATTGAGTAAACTGCAACATGAATTATTGACTAGGTACATTTGCTAGCTGATAATGAAGTAAAAGAAATACAACACTCCTTTCATGTCAAGAGTAAGAACGTTTAATAAACTACCACCGAGAGGGTGTGCGCTAGGAATAAATGAACCAAATTTGAAGGTTTTAATTAAATAGAAATTTCATTTCATGCAGGCAGTTGTTCAGTTAATTGCACCCTGAGATTACCAAGACCTGCTAGCACATAATCAGTGTGCAAAGCTGGAAATTCATTATTCCAAATATATTTCTGAATCACCCCAACTTCAATATGGAGAGTTGTGGCAAGACCCATATCTGTAGATTGTCTTTACATCCACTCTGACCTTCATAAAACCACCTCTTCATGCTGATAACTCTTCAGTGCAAGGACCACATGCAATTCTATCAAACGTACCACCTTGTACTGCGTCTGTAATTGGATATGAAATTGGTCATAAACATTAAAATTAGGGGACCTAATCTAATGCCTATCTAATTAACGATTTCTTAAATACTATTTATTAAATGGCAAATTGAGAAGGCACAGTACTACAAACAGGGACTAAAACAAAGAACAGGCCACAACCCTCATGCATAAGTCCTGTCTACACAACAGCTTCCACTGAATTAACACTGCTTCTTTGGGAAATTCAGTAACAAGGATACAAGCTGCATACATGACAAGACGAAGACATCCATCATTACTGCTTCTCAAAGTCAGCTGCCTTCTAGAACATTGTACAGTTGATGCAGTTGATGAGATTTGCACATTACAGCCAGTGGCACAGTTCTAAAATCACAATTTTAGATTTCTGTTGATAGCTTTCATGCTGAAAACACTGTATCTCACTGGAATCTAACTTTTCATACATAGTCCTGCCTGTCCCTAGCTCAAACTCCCCTTCCTGTCCACTTTACATCCTGCTACTGAAGGTTCCCTTTGATATGACATTGCCCTCTGCGCATGAGGTACTCCTCACGTCAAGCTACTTGCCCCCTGCTCCAGTTTCCACATGCTTTCTTTCAGGCCTCACACTTTTGCACTTTGGCACATCCAGGCTTTACTTCCAATTAATATTTATTGATTTTATGTCACACCCTATTATCTGGAATCTATTTCCCTCACTTAGGTTGGTCTTCTAGTTCCACTGTAGTTTTCACCCACCATATATATAGCTATCCTTTTACTAGTAATCTTAACAGATTTCTTTGCCTGCTGTCAGTGACAGGCTTCCCTGCAGCTTACAACTTACTATTAAAAATTTAAATAATTCTTCACTTTTTACCCATTGTGCATGGAGCACCAGTATCTGCTTGCTCAAATAATTTAAAAACATCCATTCACCTGTTA